CTGCTATTGGAGATAATCTATATATGATACTCCGGATAAGATAACCTCAAGCTGATTTGAAAAATTGAAGAATTGCCTAAAAGCATTGCAGTAAGATTTGAGAAGAGGAAAATAGTTGAGATGATGTTTCAAGCAAACGAAAGCTAACCTGGAAGATCTATTAGTTTTATCATTAGTTTAGAAATGAGTAAGAGTTAAATGATTACGTGCAAGTTAGATGTTAGATTTCTATCATGTAAGACAAATTGATATTATATGTGCATCATATTGTAATCTAATAAATCTTATGTTTGATTGGAATATATTTTACACAACATGGCTAGTAAAAATAAATTTGGTCCAAATATGTTTTAGTGAATGACTTCTTTTACCAGTCGTAAAGTGTATTTATAGTCGCAATTCGCAAAGAGTCTTTAACGACCATCTTTCAAGACATTGTGACCAATTTTTCATTCGCTAATGACCTTTTCTTGTAATGTATGTTGACATGTTGTCGTTATTATGTTATTATGTAACGACAAATGAGTTTCTTGTCGTTAATAAGTAATGACGAGTGAGTTTCTTGTCGTTAATAAGTAACGACGAGATCTTGTGTTGTCGTTAATTATTAACGACGAACTTTGTCGTTAAAACCAATAACGACGGAGCCTATAACAACCACTTGACGACGAAAAAAAGTGGTCGTTAAAAGTTTTAACGACCAACTTTTGAGCCTATAACGGCGATTTTTTTTATTGTTAAAAGTCCTTTTTCTAGTAGTGCTACTTGAGTAAGAATTATTTAAAACTCATTATGTCCCATTTTGTAAAATATGTTTTCTTTTTATAGTTGTCTAAAAATTAATTAATATGGACACTTTTCTAAATTAAAATCCACAGATTATTTATTTTCCCACTTGACCTATCTTTTTACTTTTTACTTTTTATGGATGTCATCTTAATCTTTCTTGCTTTTTGGAGGTTAAAATTGTGGAAAAGTCACTATCTTTTATTTTCTAAAAAACCGCACCAAAACACTACAAAAAAAAAGTTTCTGACGTCAGTTTTCTACTTTTCTGGCATCGATTTCAAGAACCGACATTAAAATCTTCCCTAGAAGCGGTTTACATGCACAAGCATTGGCAATCACTTTTTCATTTTGCGTCTAAAGAGTCTAACAACGGTTTTGAAAGGTTTTAGCATCGGTTATAAGAAACGTAATGTTTTTGATAAAAAAACTAAACTTTAGCGTAGACTTTATTTATAATTTCAAGGTAAACTTAACCCTACATATCTTCTTATCTTTTTTATCGCCGACATCAGAACTCCTCTCTCTTCTAGGTGACAATTACTCTGCATCGCTGGTTTTATTAAAACTTAATTGTCAGTTAAGTCTTTGAAGAAACCCTACTTGGCTACTTGATAGGTGATAAGTTCGTATTTCAACACGCATTTGATGCGTGTTAAGATTGAGTTTTGTCACTTTTCCTAATTTATTTGCGTCACAAAGTGTTTATTTAGCTAAAGTCACGGTTTACCGCGTTTAGTTTGCATTCGTTGAAGAATAGGAATAATTCGGACCCGGCGTCGGCGTTTGAGCCAAAGTTGAGAAGATTCGGGATATGTTCGAGAGCTAGCGAGAGGCATCGGAGGTCCCTGGATGATTTAGAGGCATGATTTGAGGCTAGGAAGATTAAAGATTAAAGATAGGATCGATCGGGAGCGAACGAGGAAGAAAAAAGCAAGAAAACGGTTCTAGAGCAATCCTCGCGCCCCATGGGTCGGTACCGCATGCCCCGTGGGTGTATCCTGGGATCTAGAACTCAAAAAGTCTGAACCGCACACCATGCGGTTGAAACCGAACGTCGTGCGGGCGACCGTGCGATCATTGAATAGTGGCGAAAGTACGAGTATCGTCTCCAGAAGGACGGAATATAGTGGTGTAAGTACAAGTGAAATAGTAGGGATCGAAGAGAAAAGGCTCACACCTATCAGTTTCGTAGTAGCATCTGGACTACTGGGGTGAAAAACTCACAATATTTAGAGAGTCTCATTATTTATGTCATTCATTTCAGATTTGGAAGAAAATAATTAAGAAAGTGTGTCCGCGGATAGTCTGTCAACTTTTTCTAAATTTCTTGTCAGTATCTAAAAGACCGCAAGAAATACATACGGTATATGGAAGCGAAGGATGGGGCTGAAACTACATGGAAACAAAAGGAAAATAACCTCTTACTCCAATTAGAAAAGATCCAGATTGTGAAGCAACACATTCTTGAAGAAAATCTCTTTGAGGTCGCCCAAAGACAAAAATAACGGGAAAACATAGGAGTTTTGATAGAATACAAATGTTAAAGCAAAGTGTACCACTCAACATAGCTGAATGATATCACCAACATTTTTTTCATCTCTTAAATGTCCTAACCTTTATTGGCTATTATATAAATATATAATATATATTTTAGACTTTATAATTTAATACTAATATTCTTTTCATTTAAACTATACACTCGTTAAGTATAAATTAAATTAAAATACACGATTGTACCGCGCACATGATATAAAGGGTTGTGCCTATAATTTACGAAGCAAACGTGAAGTGGTAGCATGAAGGGTCAAATTCTGGAATCTGCACAGTACGTTAATTTTTGAAAAATTAAAAAATGTTTATTTTTGTCCACAAAATCACACAAATAATATTAGTCATCATTTGTACTTCCAATCCACTACCCATGCTCACCAAAGTTGTGAAATTTTACTGACCGGGTGCAACTTGTGTATCACTAATAACTAATGTGTGCATGGCGTGTTAGGTCAAATGCGTGATTAAGATTTAAGATGCAATTAAGCAGGCATGAATGGATGGCAATTTGATTTGGTACTTTTCAGAACACGGGCTTTAGAATGGAAGTAATTTCTGTTGTTCATTCATTCATTTAGTATTTACACCTCCAAAAAGACAAAACCCGCAATTTTCTTTTACACTTTCACATTGTTCATCATTTATGTACAGGTTTTCCATATTTTTAGAATTTAATTTCCCAATTCTTTTTCAAAACTCGACCTGTTTGGACATACGAGATTAAAAACTGATCATATGATCGGGTTGAATGTCTTCTTTTACAAAATAAGTGTGATTGTATAATGCCTTTGTTAGCGTAATTTAAAAACAAGGACGAGTGACATGATTTTTTTAGAAGTATGACTTTGAAATATTAGAAGAGTTTATTTTGACATTTCATTCAAAAAAAATCATGAGCTTTCGTAGTATCATGTTTAGCGGTCGGATATAAGGCATAAGCACATTTTTCGATGTTCAAAGCAGGGGCGGTGCTGTCCAGTTTTGGGCCTATGGGCGATATACTATTTTGGCCTTTTTTCCAAGACAAACAGTAAATTATACTCCGTACTTACTTAAAGTAAAAATTATGGAGTAAAATAAAACTAGAAGAAATTACTCTAAATACGACTAAAAACGTTTGTATATTCCAAACTAAGATTATCATGTTTTTTTGTTCTCTAAATAGAAGTAATTAATGTCATATTTTGGCAGTATCATATTTTACACATGGTAGTATTTTCCCAACATGACGGCAAATACTCTTATTCAGAAAATAAACACATGACAGTCCTATTTTGAAATTCTAAAAAAATAGTACTCCTATTTCTGGAATTCTCCCTACAACTATCTAATAAAGGTTATAAAATAAAGATGAAATTCACCTTTATATTATTTGAATTGCATATTAGGACAAAAGCTACAACACACGTATCACAAAAGAACATTGCGAAGTAAAATCATAAATAACTTCTTTATAATCAATCTTTTCCAAGATCACATGTGCAATGTTTAAAATTGCTAATTCATTAGGTTTTTTGAGGCATAATAGATAATTGGGATGATGCTTGAGAATTGGGAGGCACCGGCAACCCAAAGACGATAATATAAATTGATAATTTTGTAATTAAAAGGTAAAAAACTTAAATGTTAAAAAGATGTGAAGAGACGTGTTTTTATTGATTTAACAACAAATGTGTTGACTTACAACCAACTCTATTTAAAAATCAAAACTAAATTTATATTCTTTTTAAAAATATGTCTAGCTTTGTTCAAGACTTTTTACTTATGTTTTAAAATTCTCAAATTGTCAACAAAAATTACACATTAGGTCTAATTAATTAATTGAAATTATAAATAAAAAAAGAAGTCTACTCATATTACATATAAAGAAAAAACATGGGCATAATTTTCTTTATACTTTTTTCGGGCCTAGGGCGGTCGCCCCTGCTGCCCTTCCCCTAGGACCGGCCATGGTTCAAAGTTAAACTGAGCCGGAATTTAATAAAGAAGTCTCTAATTTCATCAACTATGACTCTATGAGAGAGCACCTACACCAAGTCAAAATGAATAAAGCCAGACTTGAATCCAAATGTATAGCTTATTCTAGGAATTGAATCCAAATGCGGTTTTTCCTAAAATATGATTATATTTAAGTTTATTTTCAGATAAGTATATACTTTTATATAGGGACAAAAACAAGGGTAACGAAGAAATAAATTTGAAAATGTAAGATGTCACTGTTAGAATTTTACATCACTAATAAATTTCATTGTCGTCGTTACAGATGTCACTGACGTTGCGAAACTTGGCATCTGACAGTCTAAAAAATTTGCAATGACTTTTTTCCACAATCCAAAAGCAACGGTTCCCGCAAACAATCACCCTCAGATGTTTCCTAATCATATTTTTACGGCATGGAGGTGAAATTTTTACTTTTTTCCAACTAAAATTCCTAGAACAAGTGAAAGAATCATCATTCTAAGTCAATCTCATTACATTAACATTGTACTTTGGAAATTCAATTCACCAATAAAGTTCTTACTTTTTGCTTATTTTTCAAAAAGGAGAGCGGGAGCAATAAAGATTTCATGGCTCATTCGTGGCCTGTTCCTAGAAATTGCACTATATTCTTGCATGTTAATTACATACACTGTGTAACATTAATTTCTGCCCTGTTAATGCCCCGACCGGCCTCTATCATAACCTTGAATTCCAATGAAGAAAATTGATCCCATCCTTCACTTTATTACTTACTTAGCTATTGGAAGCATCATATTTTCTCTGGTACATGAAATTGGCCGTGGAAATTAATTAAAAGAACTGAATGAAGTTCCCTTTCCTGTCCAAAAGCTCCGTCCGGTGGCGGCCATGTCCGAGCTGCGCCATGAGCGGCCGTGTAAAGACCTTATCTTTCCGGGAAGATAAGGCGGACGTCGTCAAGATTCTCAATTCAGCATATCGGGTTGAGGTCGATGACGATTCTTGCTCGATCGTCTTCAGTGATAATGATGACCGGTACCGGTGCCCACCAACGGTAATGAAGGCGGCGGCGGCGGTTTCCACCGGATTCCCGCCGGAGGTCTTTGATGGAGACGATGACGGCGGCGGGGATGAGGAGATGATCAAAGGGTTGTTGAGATCGGAGAGGCTGTTCTTCAATCCGGAAGAAACGACGAGCTCCATTCTCGCCGGCGGCGACTATTCCGATTCATCAAGAAATCACACGACTGAGGATCCGCTGGAGGAAAGCGTGGCAATGGCGATGCAATCGGTGGACCCGTTCGAGGATTTCAAGAGATCAATGGAGGAGATGGTGGAAGCTCATCATCATCATCACAGTAATGGCGCCGGCGGCGGGGTCAATGATGATTGGGCGTTTCTTGAGGAGCTTCTGGTTTCGTATTTGAGGATTAACGGGAAAAGCACCCACGGTTATATTGTCGCCGCCTTCGTTGACTTGCTGGTCGGGCTTTCTTTGGACGAAGTTGCCGGCGGTCGCGGCGGCGGCCGCGGCAGCTGCTCGTCTTCAACGTCTTTCAACTACCCTGAGCAGTGTTGTTTGATGTCATCAACTTCTTTTGCGTCTCGTTTGTCTTCTATTAGTTTCTCAACCACTTGTCTTTCAACTTCATCTTTTTCACTTGTAGGCTAGATTCAATTTCATTATTATGTACTTAATTTTTATTGAAGTATTATTATTATGTACTTAATTAGTATATTGGTATAGTGATTAACTGATTATACTCTCTCATTTGATTCAAATTTTCTAAAAAATAAAAATAAAATTTTCGTGATAAAATAATGACTGCCAATTTTGAAAAATACTGTCATATTTAAAGTCTGACCATGTTAATACATAATAGTAATTAATACTATTAAGGGAATAAAAATATGCAATTTATACCTTACTACCGATTGTACCATGAACATGGTACAACTATTTTTTTTGTAATGTATTGGAATTCCAAAGATTTACTACGTACTTAGCATGCTCTCACTCGCAATTTTTTGGGCAAATCTTCTAATTTATTATAGTATATGTTATGTTAAGGTCAATATCCTTGAACTGGGATGAGATTCGAATGTGTGACCTCCTCCTTGAAAGTGTCACAGTGATGCCATCAGACCATAACGTTCGCAATTTTTTTTTGCTTCGTAGTTACGTGACATGCTCCCTACTTCTTTCCTTTGATTTCTTTTCGTTTTTTTATTGGCAAAGTTTTTCATTAATTTTAATTTATAGAATAAAATGTGCACTATAAAATGTGACTTATGATCCCAGATTGCTTCTTTTTTAGTTTCTTTTTGCAATCAACGTTCCTTTATAACTTAAATATTTCTTTAAATTGCACATTACAGAATATTTTAGGTATCAATGTTTTTTCTATTTTTAATTCCAAGAATAATATTTATTATTTTAATAAATTGTGTGTTTATTATTTTAATATTATGTATTGATTGTTAACATGAATGATGTTGTGCTATACTAAAATAAATATAGTGTTTCTAATTATTGACGGTCTTCTCATAATAATCTCGAATAATTTCAATATAATCTACTACCTAAATTATATAGGGTAGCTGCCAAAAACAATCCCATGACCTGAATAAACCAGTTCAACCGGTCATCTGGACATGTGTCTTATTTTAATCAGAGTTCCGGGTCTTTTTATTTTCCTTTTATTCATGTTCTCTCTTTTATTTTCTTTTTTCCCAGTTCTCTTCTCTTCTTCTTTTCTGAGTTTCTCCGCTCCACTCGTCTTCTTCTTTCTCTGCCCCTGAACAGTAGTAAAGAAAAAGAGTAAGACTCGCCACATTATGAACTCATAGAAGATGAACTCAGACGAAGAGGTATTAACAAAGCCGGGTTTTAGCACGTTCAACATGTTCTACAAAACATGACCTCTCGATTTATGGGACCCCATTTTTAAAAAAAAATATTAGTATTGGAAAGTAATAATATATATTAATAGTTAATACTAATCAGTAAAATAAAGATTTTTGTCAGTCCTTTTATTATTGTTTTACTCAATTGATTGAGTGATGAGTTGTGTTGCTTTAAATCAAGAATTAAGTGATTTTTAGATTTTACTATTACATTATTTGATAAGTATTCAATTAATTTCAGTATAAAAATTTAGATTGTTTTTTTTTTAATTTTTTATATTAATATGAGCCTCAATTTTAAGTTCGGAAAGGAGCCTCCAAATTCGTTAGGCGCCGGATCCATGTCCAAACTTGGATGTTGAAATACAAACCCAGCACATCCCCTTAAATTTCGACAGAAACTTGGAGGTATATATGGGACACGAAATAGAATTAACCTGGCTAGTGGCCTAGTGAGTAATTTGAGTTACTGCGTTGGACCCAGCGAGAGAAGAGAACGAGATAGATATTCAATGAAAATGTTTTGATGCTAAAATGAGGTTTTGAAATTTTGTATACTCAATTTGAGTGTTCTAATGCTCAATATACCTCATAATGATGCTCAATAGTAGAGAACGTGATACTTAATGATTTTTTTTAATACGATATCGATACAAGGTTTTCAAAATTGGTATCCTCAATTGCAGAGTTCATATGATAAATAGAGGGAGCTTGATGCTCAATAAAAAATGTTTTGATACTCAAATGACAAGTTTACAATTTTCATATCAATGAATACATCAAAAATATAATACGCAGTATTAAATTAGATTCGCATATTGAAATTTATAGGAGTTGATTATAAATATAGTTTAATAGATTTTTATAAAAGAAAAAATAAGAAAAAGAATGTGAATTAAAAGATATGAAAATATAGATATCACGATGTTCACTAAAAGTGTATTAATGCTCATTTAGCGGAAGACACAATTTTCAGTTAAATTATGAAAATCATGTTTCCGGATGTACGGTGCTCAGCGTACAACTGGTGGTACGGTAAAAACATGTCAATCAAAATTTATAAATGTTTTTACTCTTATTTAGGGTCGTTTGTTAAAACATGCAAACCGTGTTACTAAAGTTAATTCCTAAAATTAAACATCAAAATTGATGTTATTTCACAAAAAACTAATTATTTCCTAAAATATATTAGAGCTAATTACACTAATACAAAATACCAATACTATTTTTTCTATTATTTCTCTCTTAAGTATATGACGACTCTGCATATGGATCTCTTACATATATGACGACTATACATATGGATTGTGTTCATCTTTCTTGGCAAGGCAAGCGGTTTTAGAGTCCAGCTGATTTTACTTACCACTTGATTGTATTGTAAACTTGCTTAAGAGTGATTATTAATGAATTCTATTTGATTTAAAAAACAAAGTCTTGAAATTTGAACATGGGATGGTAAATGTAAATTGTTGGTGAGAGATTAATAAAAATTTAAAATAGATATAGGGCGTGTTTGACATTCAGCGATTAGCGGATAGCTGGTTATGTTAGCGGGTTGTCAATGGCGGATTAGGTCAGCGGGTTTGACTAGCAGAATAAATTGGCGGGTTGTCAAAAGATGTTTGGTAATTTAGCTGTTTGGCTATAAAATGAGTAGAAAATGCCATTTTTCAAAACGTCAACCCAAAACTCTCCTATTAGCAGCGTTTTCATTTTGGCATTTTCGTCCAAAAACGCTGGTGCCGAATAACTATTTACCAAACAGCTTTTTCACTTATTGAAAACTGTTAGAGTCCCACACCGGAAGCATTTGAATCAACAAAGTGTTATATTAAGACATGGGTTATTCCTCCTATAAGGTTGACCTTTTAGGATGGAACTCTGAGTCTTAACATGGTATCAAAGCTGATGGATAGTCTACCCGGGGGGTATCCTATCCGAGGGGTTATTACGGGAACAACTAGAGAGAAGTCAGATCAAAATAGGAGGAGAGAGAGTCGATTTTATCAAATGAACTCAGCGTGTGGGAGTTGGGTTGTTTACAAGAAGAAATGGGCTGCTATTTATAGCAGCAATAAATGCGATGAGAGTACACGTGTCAGTAATCCAACGGCCGAGGGATCACATCAATCGGGGTGGCACCGGTCATCGCACGTTCCCCGCATTAAATGCGGTGGGTGGATGTGACGTCGCATTAAATGCGGTGGTTGGGTGTCTCCAAAGGGAATCTTCGATGATTGAGTCCGTTTAGCCGAAGGCTCCTCACGTAGCCGAGGGCTTCGTGTGGACGAAGGCACTGTGTATGGCCGAAGGCTTCATATATGGCCGAAGGCTTCATGTATGACCGAATGCTTTATGTATGGCCGAAGGCTTCATGTATGGCCGAAGGCTTCATGTATGACTGAGGGCTTCATGTATGGCCGAAGGCTTCATGTATGGCCGAGGGCTTCATGTATGGCCGAAGGCTTCATGTATGGCCGAGGGCTTCATGTATGGCCGAGGGCTTCATGTATGGCCGAGGGCTTCATGTATGGCCGAGGGCTTCATGTATGGCCGAAGGCTCCTCGCGTAGCCGAGGGCTTCGTGTGGCTGAAGGCCCTGTGTAGCCGAAGGCTTGGTTCAGCTGAGGGCTTCCCTGGTGCCGAGGGCTCCTTTTTTCTGCCGTTTTCTCCCAGTAGCTTCGCATGGTCAAACATGGCGGTTCTGTGAGTTTTGGAGCCTTCGGCCAAGGAGGCCGAAGGCACCTCAGTGTGTATTCTGGGCTCCTTTAAGTTTTGGGCCGTCGCATTTGGGCCTCAGTTGTTCTCTGGGCTCAATGGGCTTGTGTAGGAGAAGTAGGAGTCTATGGGCCGGGGGTTCCTGGGCCATATACTCCATCAAAAGCCAAACCGTCCATGGTGTGGGTCCCCTTATGAAAAATGATGACGCGATTATAAAAAATGACAATGACGAATCGACGAAAAAAAAGAATGACGGCATGATCCAAACGAAGTGTCTGGTCATGAAGAGGGGTGTTAGAGTCCTACACTAGAAAAGTTTGAATCAACAAAGTGCTTTATTAAGATGTGTTATTCCTCCTATAAGGTTGACCTTTTAGGATGGAACTCCGGCTCTCAACAAAAACGCTAAAAGTGGTCAAATCGCCATTTTTTGGCTGAAACATTGTTTACCAAACACCTCCATAGTTTCTGCAATCCATTATTATCGCAAATAAATTTAACTCTATATTTAATTTCATTTTAATGACATTTTTGTCATGTTGTCTGTTTCTCATTCTCTTAATTTGGAATATCACTTTTTAAGTTCTTATTATATACGAGTAATAAAATCATAGATAGACTCTGACAACTCTCATTTTCAATTGCAGCATTTCATCTCATCTGAAAATCTCACAAACATATGCTGAATAAGTTTTCATTACTACTTTCAATTTCATCAAGCTGTCGGGCGTAGATCCATTTCGAATTAGGGAGTGTTTGAATCCGATTCTCAAAACTGATTCTGCTCCTTTAGGGAGCTGGAGTGTTTGGGTGAAATTCTAAAAACACTTCCGGTGCTCTAATTTACTCCCATAATCAGTTTTTTTAGAAGATGGGGGTATCAGCTTCTGAAAACTGATTCTGATTCTGCTTCTGTTTTAAAAAAGAATCAGAATCAGTTCCAAACACCCCTTAGACTTAAACATTAGATTATAAGAGATTACATAAAATATGATCGCTTTTAATATTATATTTCAGGAAAAAGAGATCAAAATAAGATTAAACTATCTCAAACGGTAACTCTCTCACCCAACATCTGGGGAAAAGTCACCGAGAAAGTCACCACGGAGCAGTATAACTAGTTAAGTAGCTGTGACACAAACAATGATTCTATTCTAAAATATTTAAAAACTAATTATATTTGTCTCATTGAGTAATATTTTAACAGTGTATATTGAAGCTAAGTAAACTCCTAAAAATCACGAATCAATTAGTTCATAAAAAATATATTAATGACATTTGATATATATGAGACCAATGAATACGAGTTTTTGTTTTTGAAAAACTACTCAATAGCACTTACATATCCTAGCCATGTTAAATGTGTAATGATAGAAATCTATAAAATTAAACCTTCATTCAGTGTACTGTAATAATTACTGTCCGTTCCATAAATTGAATAAATATATTTTGTGAGTGAATAATTCGAACATTTGACTGTAATTATTACGGCATGCTCCGGGTTTTCTGCTCTTTGAATGTTATTAAATTATATAAAGGACGTTATTTGACCCTAAGCACTTATGGGATATGAATTGAACGACAATTAACACTGGAATGTTATTACTTAAATATAAGTCTAGCGTCAACTAATTAAAAACTCTTGAAGGTCGTGTAGGTAGGTGTGTCTAATTGATGTAGAATATCATAAGCTATAAAAATGCTTATGAGAGTTAAATGCTTGAAAATGAGATATATTGAATTTCAGAGGCATAGATATAAATGCTAGATATTCACAGATCAAGATTTTCAAAAATTCACCCATAAATCAGAACATACTAATTTGAAAACTCGAAATCTATTTAAAATTCTGCTTCTTTAAGTAAAAATAAATTCGAAAAGTAGAACATTGGGAAAAAAATTCTACTCCATGCCACACACTACAAAAAAAACACCTCTCTAGTCACAGACGGAATCCGTGACTAAAATCCATGACTAGTTTGTCACAAACTAGTCACGGGCTAGTCACAGAAATTCAAAATAAAAGTTAGTCACAGATATGTCCGTGACTATGACCGTGACTAAATTTTGTCACGGTTAACGTCCATGACTAAAGGGTTCTGATGGCCCCAATACGTTATACCATTTCCGGCGAATTTTATATTATTCCGGTACGTAGTCACGGACAGATCCGTGACTACGTCCGTGACTACAAAAAAAATTAAATTTTCAACCCTCCAGATTAAAGTCGCACCGGTAAGTTGTACGAATTAATGTAATCACAGACACATTCGTGACTACGTCCGTGACTAAAAACGAATAATTTTTTTCATGCAGACAATTCGTACCAATTAGATTAGTCACGGACGATTCCATGACTAAGTCCGTGACTAGGTTTTTTATATATGCAGCACCAGATTCATTCAGCAGAACTACACCAAAAACTTCTTGCAGAGATGGTGTTCGGATGAAGTGTGGGCCAATCTTTGTCGCCACTGATCTTCGGATCCAAACTTCCTGGCATGAAGCAAAGCCGATAAGAAAAACCGGATGTCCGAGAAGGCCTTGGAGACACAATGGCACGGGGCCGCAAGCCTCAAAGTAAACATAAAGAAACTCTTGTAAGTCTTATTCAAAAAAAAACTTACACCATTACAACATCCACATTTTTACAATTATTTATGGATTTTAAGCCTTAAACGAACCATGTAGGCGGGGCCTGAGAAGAAAAAGGTCTCGATCCTCAAGGTGATCAAGCACTGTTGGACGAAGCACGACGATGATTCGGAAGCCGATATGCCACCCCACATCGCTGAAATCGAAGTAAGTAACATCAATTATGTTATTTAATAACATTCCAAATAAAGATGATTCTAATTTCAATAATTTTTGTACATGTAGATGAAGTATATAACACAACCGTTGAGAAAAAGCGTGCTGAACTAGGCTTGACCGAATCAGATGAGCTCGATTCTGATGTGGACGATGATGCGATCGTTGAGGCAGCTGGGGTGTAAAAGGGTCGGGTTCCGTGCATGGGGGCTCAGGGGCAACGGATTTTGTACAACCGCAGCGGAGCTTCTTCTTCTCGATCAAGGCGGGGGGGGGGGATCCACGTATTGCCCAAATGCAGCGAGAATTGAAGGAGCAACAGCGAGCATTGGAGGAGCAACGGAAAAAGGAGGAAGAAACAAGAGCCCGGCTGGTAGCGATGGAATGGATCACGGATGATGATGCGATCGTTGAGGCAGCTGGGGTGTATAAGGGTCGGCTTCTATGCATGGGGGCTCAGGGGCAACGGATTTTGTACAACCGCAGCGGAGCTTCTTCTTCTCGATCAAGGCGGGGGGATCCACGTATTGCCCAAATGCAGCGAGAATTGGAGGAGGAGGAGCGAGCATTGGAGGAGCAACGGAAAAAAGAGGAAGAAACAAGAGCCCGGCAAGTAGCGATGGATTTCAGCCTCAGCCTCGCCCGTACATATTGCACCCTGAGATGACTCCTCAAGTTCCGCAGATGGGCGGTTATTTCCATTCCAACTTCGGGTCCGGGTTGCCTTCATTCGGAGCTTTTCAGGATCTGCCTTTTAACTAGTTTCAGACACCTGGAGGCAGCCGCGGAGGCCAAGGCGGAGGTAGCCGTGGAGGCAACCGACACGAAGAACACGAGACCGAAGACGATTATATAAATTACGATGAACCTGGATATTATCATAACGGACGAAGGAGTATGTAATGATACATTTTTAATTTAAATTGAACATTGGTTATTCTAGTCTGTTTATTACTTTTATTACCTTGCGTATTCTAGTTTGTTTTCAAATTTTTTTCTAGTCTTATAGATTAAAAGGTTATAAATTTCTTTTCTATTTAATTGATATAATACTATAACAATTTTTTTAAAATAATTTTTTTTAAGAAAATTTAAAATATAATTTAAGTTTTTTTTAAATAAAAAAGTTTAGTCACGGATCTGATCCGTGACAAATTTTTTGTCCGGATTTTACAAATATTATTTTTAAATTATTTTTTTTAAATCAAAAACATTGTCACGGATAATGTTCGTGAGAAATTAAAAAATTTGAAAATTCGAAACGAAATTTTGAAAATTTGAAGTTGGCGGTTTTTCAAAAAATTGAAGATTTAGTCACGGACACGTCCATGACTAATATGTCCGATTTTAAAAAATAAACAAACTTTAGTCACGGACTGGTCCGTGACTAATTTAAAAAATCAAATAAAAGTTAGTCACGGATCATGGCCGTGACCAACGTACCAGAGTAGCTATTTCGGGTACGAATTAGTCTCGGATCCTGGCCGTGACTAATCCGTGACTAACTTTAGTCACGGATAAAAGGTTGTGACTACAGTTAGTCACCCCCGTTTAGTCACGGATTCCGTCCGTGATTACATCCGTGACTAACTATGTTAGTCACAGATTTTTACAACTACGGTCCGTGACTAAGTCCGTGACTACGGCCCTGTTTTTTTGTAGTGACAATCACCTCACTTTTATTAGCTCTTCTACCATCTATGTAATCGAGAATATTTTCCCAGCCGCCGATCCAATGCTATGAAAAGCACAAGTGCCAATCTTCTAAGCTTTAGAAGAGTTATTAGTTTTTCCTTTTTAATCCTTCGATTATTATGTTAATGCAATTTTGACATTCGACTTTGAATTTTTTTCATTTTTAGTTCTTAGATAATTGTGTGAAAGACACTTTTTGTACTTGTCTTCAAATATTTCTATATTTAGTCTTTTGAATTTTATAAAAGTGAGTAAATGACACTTTTAAAATGATAAAATGATAGTAGAATGATTAAAAGAGTCAGTTGACAATATTCTGGGAAAAGAATATTAAAGTTGATGACTAAAAGTGTCTCTCACAATATTCAAAGGAGTAAAAGTAGGAAAAGTCAAAACCGGGTCACAAAAGTGTCTAACACACAATAGTTAAATAATTGGAGGATGAAAAGTGGCAAAAACTCTAATAATTATCTTCATGGCATATCGAATTACAGCATAGAAGTGGTAGTATTGTAGATGATTTGTACATTACAGAGATAGATAACATACATATGAATTAAGTTTCTGGTATCTTAAAGTGAGGTGCAATAGTATGATGTAAAAGTGAATGTGAATGTGTTTGGAGTGTGATTTAAAAACGTGCAACGTATGTTATCCGTTGTTTTGGATATATAATGCACGCAATAAGTATTTGTAAGGTATGGATTCCGTCTCCGGCTCAGGTCTTTCTACACACTCTCACACACCACTTTAGGGGAGGCTTTGCACAACTCTAAGGTTTTTAGCTCAACCACTAAGTCCCTCTCAGTTCTCACACAAAGGGAAAGAGAAGGAGAGCACTGCTCTCTGGAAAGGCTATTCTCGCAGGCTGAGTCTCACAAGAAAGAAGCAAAGACTATTAATAGGCTGCCAAGGAAGTCACGGGTGAGGTCAATACAAAAGACACTCACATGCATCTTAGACAAAGGAAAGTCACAAGCATAGGCCAAGACAAGTGAAGTATGCAGCGGACAGAACACAGAGGGGCCAGCCAAGTGGGTAAGTCAACCCTCAAATAGGTATGTTATTGATCAGATAAAATACCAAGGTAAAGGTACCAAAGTGGGAGTAAAACAATAGGGTGCAAGCCTCAACAAATAAAGTGGAAGGGAGGCCTTGGTAGGACCAATACCTCCAACATTCTCCACCTTATTGGTCCTAGGTGGTGTAGAGTATCAATACAAGGTTGTGACAAGACTCATTGATAGCCGTTATATTTACTTGTGTTTAACATAAGTATTTATAAGTATTTGTTGAAGAAAAGAAGATAAATCGGGCAAATACCTCCAGAATGAGAGCTTGATCATAAAACATTGCGATGAACGACTTTTTGGACCAAGAGAATGACGTTCTGCCCATAATTTGAGTATAACGTATTCTATAGAACTCGAAATCACTCGATTCGAGTTTCATGTGAATGCTAACTCAATAAGGTACAAATGTTATGAAGACGTCATGACCAAAATATGAAAGGAACAAGACTCAATCAACCAACAAAGTCAGATGTTGCTGGTGGGATTTCAGGATGCATACCTCTCAGTGTTTTATCCATATCTCTTGATTGGCTGAATAAAATCATGTCATTCAAGTTTTTTTGGATAGAAGACTTCATTATCTACAACTTTGGTGAAGGAATCATGTCCAAATTCGTAGCGGAACATCCCCAAAATCCCAGGACAAAACCGGCACCGGAATTTGCACCAAACCGGCGCCCGTTTGTTGATTTTCACATGTACACAAACCAGTAGCTTACCCGGCGCCGGGTAGGCCAAAATTTCAGATTTCCCTGCGCACAATGAAGAACCGACGCCGGGTAGGCCTGAACCCGGCGCCGGGTAGGTCTGATCCTGCAAATACAAAAGAACGTGCTGAAATATTTTGATGAAAAAAACTCACCTTCCTCATGAGCTAATCAAATATATCTTCCATGCTTGATTGTTGGGCTCGAATAGACTAAAAGATGTCAATCTTTAGCCTATATAAAGCCCCCAATTCATCAAACAAGATCATCATTCCATCTTTGGAGCTAAAAATTCAGTTTTTATATTTCCTTTTTTGCATTTTCTTGAAGTGTTGGAGAAGAAGCCATTTCTTTCTCTTCTACAATTGGTTCTAGGTATTATTTCTTGTATGTTATTGTATTTCATTGTTCTTAGTTACACTTTTGTAATTAATATGAGCATTAGAGGCTAAGTTCTTAGCTAAGGCTAGGGATGAACTTCTATGCCCACTAGGTGTTTGATAAAAGTTCTAAACCAATAAATTGTGATTTATCCTTTACATTTTGATTGTTTATGACTATGGTGTACAACATAGAAGTATGTTAAACTTAGTTTATGCTTGCAATTAACGTTGAGGTCTAAACTATGAACATTAAAGAATAAACATATATATTACTGAGAATAGAAATATATCCGGTATTATATGATACGGGTGTGATGTCTTGATATTCAACGGGGTTTTCGGTAGATGAATGTAAGCCGTAACGGGACTTACACGTAACGAAAACCACGCTCTCGCTGCCTTAACCGGAGTTGAGAATATACTAGCGACATCGTATTCATAATTATTGGTAAAGAACTAATATTCAACCCTATTAAAGCATTTAAGTGATTCCCGAAGCCTTAGTTGTTGTTATCAATCACTTTAATCAAATTAATTCAAGTTATATCTCTGAAAATTAAAAAGAAGAACCAAGTTGTTGTTTTCACAACAACACACAACTCAAAATCCCTGCACTTTACTCATTTACTTATTCAAAGTCATATACTCGCGGACTAAATTAAACAACGTTTCCCTGTGGATTCGACCCGGTATTTTACCGGAATTTATTACTATATCGGCACTTGTACACTTGCAAGTTCAGCCCGATCAAGTTTTTGGCGCCGTTGCCGGGGAAACGGTCTTGTTTAATAAAGTCCAAACAATCAACCAATCAAAAATCCTGAATTTATTTTTCACAACTTCACTTGATCTTGGAAGGATTTTTTTTTCTTGTGTAGATATTCCCTTGTGTTTGCATGCAATTGAGAGGTCAAGGTTCTAAAATTCTTGAACCACTTGATCTTGAAATAGAAAAAACTTGCAAACACATTCGAAGGGAGCAAAAAGCTACAAAGATGTTGCCAACTTTGAATGAGAGGAAGAGACCCGTGGTGGCCGCTACGCCATCTTGCATCACCTTGAGCGAGGAAGCAAGAGACTATGAGCTAAGGCAAAGCTACTTCAACGCTATGCCTCAGTTTCATGGTTTGCTTGGGGAAAATCCACTCAACTTCATCACGGAGTTCTACGGATTCATTCAAGGAATCCCTAGAAATGGCTTGGCGGAGGATCAACTCAAGCTCAAATGCTTCCCCTATACTCTCAAAGGGGCGGCAAGAGGATGGTTCCTAGAGCAAGCTCCGGCAAGCTACACAACATGGGAAGGTATATACAATGCCTTCATGTCTAAGTACTACACGCCCACCATGACTCAAGAGCTTAGACAACGCATTTTCAATTTCAAACAACAAAATGGTGAGCTCTTTCAAGACGCATGGCGGCGTTTCAAATCATTGCTAAGGGAATGCCCACATCACCGCATTCCCCTAGACCTTCAAATTGACACGTTCTACAATGGTTTGAATGCACCTTGTCAAGCCATTGTGGACAACCGAGCCAAGGGCTACATTGGAAATAAAAATGAAACTGAGGCACTCCGAATCATTGAATCTATTGCCTCAAATCCTCAACTTCAAGGAGGCGATTACAAGGTGGTCGGGATGAATGAAATCTCTATCACAACCGAGATTAACAAAAGGCTTGAACAAATGGAATCAAAAATTGAGCAAAAATTCCAAACGGCCCTTCAAGCCGTATTGGGAGGAGTCAAGCAAATAGCTAATGTGGAGAGCATTCAAAGTCCGGAAGGCAATTTATCTCAACATCTTGAAGAGGTAAATTTCATGAACTCTTATGGGAACTGGGGAAACAATAATCCTTCTAATCAACAAAGGTGGAACCAAGGGAGCAATTGGAAGCCAAAACCCCAATCCGGAGCACCTAATTTTGGGCCGTCCAAGGAAACCACCATGGAGGATATGATGCAATTCATATCCAAGAGCATGGAAAGCATGAAGGCTCAAAATGAAGAGAACCATAGTAGAGTGGAGGCATCCATTGGGAATCTCCACTCTCAATTCAACAAGTTGGATCTTCGCTTTGAAGATCAAAATATAAAGCTCAACCAACGCATCGACACCATTGAGCAATATACCAAGGCGTCAATCCGAAATCTTGAAGTTCAATTGGGACAACTCGCCCAAAAAGTGAGTTCTAGAGAGCAAGGTAAACTCCCTACAACTACGGAGGTAAACCCGAGGGAGAGCGTCATGGCCATTACCACAAGAAGCGGGAGGCAAACGGAGGATCCCAAGATGCCGGAGAGAAGAAAGACACCGGAGGAACAAGAAGAGGTTTCACATACACCGTTGCCACCTATTATGCCTCAATATGTTCCTCCCATCCCTTATCCAAAAAAGTTGAAGAAGAAAGGAGATGAGAAGAAACACAAGAAAATTCTTGATATTTTCAAGAAATTAAGCATCAACATACCTTTTACGGAGGCCATTGCGGAGATTCCATCATACGCAAAATTTCTCAAAAGCATCATCTCCAACAAAAAGAAGTTAGAGGAATTCGCAACTGTGGCACTAACGGAGGAATGTAGTGCCATTATTCAAAACAAACTTCCTCCAAAACTAAAAGACCCCGGAAGCTTCACTATTTCATGCTCTATCGGAAAAGTCGGGGAGGTAAAGTCTCTTTGTGACCTTGGCGCTAGCATAAATCTCATGCCCTACTCCCTATTTAAAAAGCTAAGTGTGGGGGAACTCCAACCAACAACGGTTGCTTTGCAATTAGCGGATAGAACAATCCGCTATGCGATAGGCATTATGGAGGATGTCCTTGTCAAAGTAGGAAAATTCTACTTTCCGGTAGATTTTTTTGTTTTAGACATGGAAGAGATGGAGGTTCCCGTCATCCTTGGGAGATCATTTTTTGCCACCTCCGCAGCCGTCATTGATGTACAAGCGGGCACCGTAAGGCTAAAAGTGGGAGAAGACGATGAAACATTCCATGTATGGAAAACACAATCCATTCTAACTCAAAACATGGAGGTCAACACAAATCCTTTTACTCCTCCCAAGGCCATAAACATCATGAACATCAAGAAGGCACTAATACTTGGGCCCGAGGACCCTCCCACACACCCCGAGAGAAAAAAGAACAGACCTCCAACTCCATGGCCTCCCCACGATCTCAAAAAGGTAACATTGGTCAAACGTCTTCGGGAGCACAATCACACGTGAGAGGTACGTTGCATCCGGCCTATGACGTTAAACTGAGCGCTAATTGGGAGGCAACCCAACAAATTCAATTATAAATAAATATGTTTAGTTAAATACATATTCATATTTATTTATAATTGAAACAACAAAAAAAAACACAAAAAAAAACAAAAAAAAAAGAAAAAAAGAAAAAGAAGCATCATCTAAACTCATGTATCATGCATCTCCTACTCTCACAAGACGGCCCATTCTGCTATTGAAGATTTCATCCTCCATTACATCCTCCAATGTACATTGAGGACAATGTATCTCAAGTGTGGGGGGTGCATCTCATGGTTAGTTAAACAAATTTTTTGTGCAAAATAATATTTTTTTTAGGAAGGTAAAAGTTGTGATAATTCTCTTTTTAATGGGTATTTGGTTGAGAAAGTTTTTATTATTCACATAAACTATCATTTTTTTAGATTTATTACACTACTTTTACTCTTGAAAACCATTCCCAAAATAAACCTTGTGACTAGGGAACATCATCTTCTTCCATGTCCAAAAATGGTTTAAGTACATCTCAAATATTCAAGAACCATTTTGGAAAACAAGCCACCCTCATGTCTCATCAAATAAATTGGGATCATCAAAATGACTTTCAGAAAATACTTGTTGAGAACCAATTCAAATGAGTTATAAAAAAAACCTCATGGTCTCTCCCAAGAACTCCAATTGATCCAATTCTATACTGAAAAGTCAAATACACCAAAAAGCCATTCTACACACCCAAAAAGTCTTAGTCACAATCCACTCATCTACTCTCAAGTGTATAAGTAATTTTTCTAAATCTAATGATAGTTTTGTGTGTCTAATAGAAATTTGGTTTTGGACCGAGAATGATAAAGGAGTTTACATAATTTTATACCTCCCTTAAAAATAAAATTATTTTTGTGCATATATTTTTGTTGAAACTAACCAAGGCATCCAAGGTGAAGAAATTGCTCGAGGACGACCAATGCTCAAGTGTGGGGGGATTTGATAGCCGTTATATTTACTTGTGTTTAACATAAGTATTTATAAGTATTTGTTGAAGAAAAGAAGAGAAATCGGGCAAATACCTCCAGAATGAGAGCTTGATCATAAAACATTGCGATGAACGACTTTTTGGACCAAGAGAATGACGTTCTGCCCATAATTTGAGTATAACGTATTCTATAGAACTCGAAATCACTCGATTCGAGTTTCATGTGAATTCTAACTCAATAAGGTACAAATGTTATGAAGACGTCATGACCAAAATATGAAAGGAACAAGACTCAATCAACCAACAAAGTCAGATGTTGCTGGTGGGATTTCAGGATGCATACCTCTCAGTGTTTTATCCATATCTCTTGATTGGCTGAATAAAATCATGTCATTCAAGTTTTTTTGGATAGAAGACTTCATTATCTACAACTTTGGTGAAGGAATCATGTCCAAATTCGTAGCGGAACATCCCCAAAATCCCAGGACAAAACCGGCACCGGAATTTGCACCAAACCGGCGCCCGTTTGTTGATTTTCACATGTACACAAACCAGTAGCTTACCCGGCGCCGGGTAGTCCTTATACCCGGCGCCGGGTAGGCCAAAATTTCAGATTTCCCTGCGCACAATGAAGAACCGACGCCGGGTAGGCCTGAACCCGGCGCCGGGTAGGTCTGATCCTGCAAATACAAAAGAACGTGCTGAAATATTTTGATGAAAAAAACTCACCTTCCTCATGAGCTAATCAAATATATCTTCCATGCTTGATTGTTGGGCTCGAATAGACTAAAAGATGTCAATCTTTAGCCTATATAAAGCCCCCAATTCATCAAACAAGATCATCATTCCATCTTTGGAGCTAAAAATTCAGTTTTTATATTTCCTTTTTTGCATTTTCTTGAAGTGTTGGAGAAGAAGCCATTTCTTTCTCTTCTACAATTGGTTCTAGGTATTATTTCTTGTATGTTATTGTATTTCATTGTTCTTAGTTACACTTTTGTAATTAATATGAGCATTAGAGGCTAAGTTCTTAGCTAAGGCTAGGGATGAACTTCTATGCCCACTAGGTGTTTGATAAAAGTTCTAAACCAATAAATTGTGATTTATCCTTTACATTTTGATTGTTTATGACTATGGTGTACAACATAGAAGTATGTTAAACTTAGTTTATGCTTGCAATTAACGTTGAGGTCTAAACTATGAACATTAAAGGATAAACATATATATTACTGAGAATAGAAATATATCCGGTATTATATGATACGGGTGTGATGTCTTGATATTCAACGGGGTTTTCGGTAGATGAATGTAAGCCGTAACGGGACTTACACGTAACGAAAACCACGCTCTCGCTGCCTTAACCGGAGTTGAGAATATACTAGCGACATCGTATTCATAATTATTGGTAAAGAACTAATATTCAACCCTATTAAAGCATTTAAGTGATTCCCGAAGCCTTAGTTGTTGTTATCAATCACTTTAATCAAATTAATTCAAGTTATATCTCTGAAAATTAAAAAGAAGAACCAAGTTGTTGTTTTCACAACAACACACAACTCAAAATCCCTGCACTTTACTCATTTACTTATTCAAAGTCATATACTCGCGGACTAAATTAAACAACGTTTCCCTGTGGATTCGACCCGGTATTTTACCGGAATTTATTACTATATCGGCACTTGTACACTTGCAAGTTCAGCCCGATCAAGTTTTTGGCGCCGTTGCCGGGGAAACGGTCTTGTTTAATAAAGTCCAAACAATCAACCAATCAAAAATCCTGAATTTATTTTTCACAACTTCACTTGATCTTGGAAGGATTTTTTTTTCTTGTGTAGATATTCCCTTGTGTTTGCATGCAATTGAGAGGTCAAGGTTCTAAAATTCTTGAACCACTTGATCTTGAAATAGAAAAAACTTGCAAACACATTCGAAGGGAGCAAAAAGCTACAAAGATGTTGCCAACTTTGAATGAGAGGAAGAGACCCGTGGTGGCCGCTACGCCATCTTGCATCACCTTGAGCGAGGAAGCAAGAGACTATGAGCTAAGGCAAAGCTACTTCAACGCTATGCCTCAGTTTCATGGTTTGCTTGGGGAAAATCCACTCAACTTCATCACGGAGTTCTACGGATTCATTCAAGGAATCCCTAGAAATGGCTTGGCGGAGGATCAACTCAAGCTCAAATGCTTCCCCTATACTCTCAAAGGGGCGGCAAGAGGATGGTTCCTAGAGCAAGCTCCGGCAAGCTACACAACATGGGAAGGTATATACAATGCCTTCATGTCTAAGTACTACACGCCCACCATGACTCAAGAGCTTAGACAACGCATTTTCAATTTCAAACAACAAAATGGTGAGCTCTTTCAAGACGCATGGCGGCGTTTCAAATCATTGCTAAGGGAATGCCCACATCACCGCATTCCCCTAGACCTTCAAATTGACACGTTCTACAATGGTTTGAATGCACCTTGTCAAGCCATTGTGGACAACCGAGCCAAGGGCTACATTGGAAATAAAAATGAAACTGAGGCACTCCGAATCATTGAATCTATTGCCTCAAATCCTCAACTTCAAGGAGGCGATTACAAGGTGGTCGGGATGAATGAAATCTCTATCACAACCGAGATTAACAAAAGGCTTGAACAAATGGAATCAAAAATTGAGCAAAAATTCCAAACGGCCCTTCAAGCCGTATTGGGAGGAGTCAAGCAAATAGCTAATGTGGAGAGCATTCAAAGTCCGGAAGGCAATTTATCTCAACATCTTGAAGAGGTAAATTTCATGAACTCTTATGGGAACTGGGGAAACAATAATCCTTCTAATCAACAAAGGTGGAACCAAGGGAGCAATTGGAAGCCAAAACCCCAATCCGGAGCACCTAATTTTGGGCCGTCCAAGGAAACCACCATGGAGGATATGATGCAATTCATATCCAAGAGCATGGAAAGCATGAAGGCTCAAAATGAAGAGAACCATAGTAGAGTGGAGGCATCCATTGGGAATCTCCACTCTCAATTCAACAAGTTGGATCTTCGCTTTGAAGATCAAAATATAAAGCTCAACCAACGCATCGACACCATTGAGCAATATACCAAGGCGTCAATCCGAAATCTTGAAGTTCAATTGGGACAACTCGCCCAAAAAGTGAGTTCTAGAGAGCAAGGTAAACTCCCTACAACTACGGAGGTAAACCCGAGGGAGAGCGTCATGGCCATTACCACAAGAAGCGGGAGGCAAACGGAGGATCCCAAGATGCCGGAGAGAAGAAAGACACCGGAGGAACAAGAAGAGGTTTCACATACACCGTTGCCACCTATTATGCCTCAATATGTTCCTCCCATCCCTTATCCAAAAAAGTTGAAGAAGAAAGGAGATGAGAAGAAACACAAGAAAATTCTTGATATTTTCAAGAAATTAAGCATCAACATACCTTTTACGGAGGCCATTGCGGAGATTCCATCATACGCAAAATTTCTCAAAAGCATCATCTCCAACAAAAAGAAGTTAGAGGAATTCGCAACTGTGGCACTAACGGAGGAATGTAGTGCCATTATTCAAAACAAACTTCCTCCAAAACTAAAAGACCCCGGAAGCTTCACTATTTCATGCTCTATCGGAAAAGTCGGGGAGGTAAAGTCTCTTTGTGACCTTGGCGCTAGCATAAATCTCATGCCCTACTCCCTATTTAAAAAGCTAAGTGTGGGGGAACTCCAACCAACAACGGTTGCTTTGCAATTAGCGGATAGAACAATCCGCTATGCGATAGGCATTATGGAGGATGTCCTTGTCAAAGTAGGAAAATTCTACTTTCCGGTAGATTTTTTTGTTTTAGACATGGAAGAGATGGAGGTTCCCGTCATCCTTGGGAGATCATTTTTTGCCACCTCCGCAGCCGTCATTGATGTACAAGCGGGCACCGTAAGGCTAAAAGTGGGAGAAGACGATGAAACATTCCATGTATGGAAAACACAATCCATTCTAACTCAAAACATGGAGGTCAACACAAATCCTTTTACTCCTCCCAAGGCCATAAACATCATGAACATCAAGAAGGCACTAATACTTGGGCCCGAGGACCCTCCCACACACCCCGAGAGAAAAAAGAACAGACCTCCAACTCCATGGCCTCCCCACGATCTCAAAAAGGTAACATTGGTCAAACGTCTTCGGGAGCACAATCACACGTGAGAGGTACGTTGCATCCGGCCTATGACGTTAAACTGAGCGCTAATTGGGAGGCAACCCAACAAATTCAATTATAAATAAATATGTTTAGTTAAATACATATTCATATTTATTTATAATTGAAACAACAAAAAAAAACACAAAAAAAAACAAAAAAAAAAGAAAAAAAGAAAAAGAAGCATCATCTAAACTCATGTATCATGCATCTCCTACTCTCACAAGACGGCCCATTCTGCTATTGAAGATTTCATCCTCCATTACATCCTCCAATGTACATTGAGGACAATGTATCTCAAGTGTGGGGGGTGCATCTCATGGTTAGTTAAACAAATTTTTTGTGCAAAATAATATTTTTTTTAGGAAGGTAAAAGTTGTGATAATTCTCTTTTTAATGGGTATTTGGTTGAGAAAGTTTTTATTATTCACATAAACTATCATTTTTTTAGATTTATTACACTACTTTTACTCTTGAAAACCATTCCCAAAATAAACCTTGTGACTAGGGAACATCATCTTCTTCCATGTCCAAAAATGGTTTAAGTACATCTCAAATATTCAAGAACCATTTTGGAAAACAAGCCACCCTCATGTCTCATCAAATAAATTGGGATCATCAAAATGACTTTCAGAAAATACTTGTTGAGAACCAATTCAAATGAGTTATAAAAAAAACCTCATGGTCTCTCCCAAGAACTCCAATTGATCCAATTCTATACTGAAAAGTCAAATACACCAAAAAGCCATTCTACACACCCAAAAAGTCTTAGTCACAATCCACTCATCTACTCTCAAGTGTATAAGTAATTTTTCTAAATCTAATGATAGTTTTGTGTGTCTAATAGAAATTTGGTTTTGGACCGAGAATGATAAAGGAGTTTACATAATTTTATACCTCCCTTAAAAATAAAATTATTTTTGTGCATATATTTTTGTTGAAACTAACCAAGGCATCCAAGGTGAAGAAATTGCTCGAGGACGACCAATGCTCAAGTGTGGGGGGATTTGATAGCCGTTATATTTACTTGTGTTTAACATAAGTATTTATAAGTATTTGTTGAAGAAAAGAAGAGAAATCGGGCAAATACCTCCAGAATGAGAGCTTGATCATAAAACATTGCGATGAACGACTTTTTGGACCAAGAGAATGACGTTCTGCCCATAATTTGAGTATAACGTATTCTATAGAACTCGAAATCACTCGATTCGAGTTTCATGTGAATTCTAACTCAATAAGGTACAAATGTTATGAAGACGTCATGACCAAAATATGAAAGGAACAAGACTCAATCAACCAACAAAGTCAGATGTTGCTGGTGGGATTTCAGGATGCATACCTCTCAGTGTTTTATCCATATCTCTTGATTGGCTGAATAAAATCATGTCATTCAAGTTTTTTTGGATAGAAGACTTCATTATCTACAACTTTGGTGAAGGAATCATGTCCAAATTCGTAGCGGAACATCCCCAAAATCCCAGGACAAAACCGGCACCGGAATTTGCACCAAACCGGCGCCCGTTTGTTGATTTTCACATGTACACAAACCAGTAGCTTACCCGGCGCCGGGTAGTCCTTATACCCGGCGCCGGGTAGGCCAAAATTTCAGATTTCCCTGCGCACAATGAAGAACCGACGCCGGGTAGGCCTGAACCCGGCGCCGGGTAGGTCTGATCCTGCAAATACAAAAGAACGTGCTGAAATATTTTGATGAAAAAAACTCACCTTCCTCATGAGCTAATCAAATATATCTTCCATGCTTGATTGTTGGGCTCGAATAGACTAAAAGATGTCAATCTTTAGCCTATATAAAGCCCCCAATTCATCAAACAAGATCATCATTCCATCTTTGGAGCTAAAAATTCAGTTTTTATATTTCCTTTTTTGCATTTTCTTGAAGTGTTGGAGAAGAAGCCATTTCTTTCTCTTCTACAATTGGTTCTAGGTATTATTTCTTGTATGTTATTGTATTTCATTGTTCTTAGTTACACTTTTGTAATTAATATGAGCATTAGAGGCTAAGTTCTTAGCTAAGGCTAGGGATGAACTTCTATGCCCACTAGGTGTTTGATAAAAGTTCTAAACCAATAAATTGTGATTTATCCTTTACATTTTGATTGTTTATGACTATGGTGTACAACATAGAAGTATGTTAAACTTAGTTTATGCTTGCAATTAACGTTGAGGTCTAAACTATGAACATTAAAGGATAAACATATATATTACTGAGAATAGAAATATATCCGGTATTATATGATACGGGTGTGATGTCTTGATATTCAACGGGGTTTTCGGTAGATGAATGTAAGCCGTAACGGGACTTACACGTAACGAAAACCACGCTCTCGCTGCCTTAACCGGAGTTGAGAATATACTAGCGACATCGTATTCATAATTATTGGTAAAGAACTAATATTCAACCCTATTAAAGCATTTAAGTGATTCCCGAAGCCTTAGTTGTTGTTATCAATCACTTTAATCAAATTAATTCAAGTTATATCTCTGAAAATTAAAAAGAAGAACCAAGTTGTTGTTTTCACAACAACACACAACTCAAAATCCCTGCACTTTACTCATTTACTTATTCAAAGTCATCTACTCGCGGACTAAATTAAACAACGTTTCCCTGTGGATTCGACCCGGTATTTTACCGGAATTTATTACTATATCGGCACTTGTACACTTGCAAGTTCAGCCCGATCACTCATCATCGCCGGGTCACCCGGAATATCAACAGACACAACGGGCAAACACTTTATTAGGCAACCCACAGTTATCCACAATCAAAGTTTAACACGCGTTTACAGGACAAGTGCTTCTCAGCAGAAAGACACTTGGTACCCATATCCGCGGGGTTAAACTCTGACGGGATCTTGCACAGCTTGACTCCACCTGCATCAACAATATCACGTATGAAATGGAACCTAACATCAATATGCTTAGTTCTATCATGAAATACAGGATTTTTGCAAAGTTGGATAGCCGATTGGCTATCCGAGAAAATGGTAACTCCCTTTTTGAGAAACCCAATTTCGGAGACAAGGCGTTTGAGCCAGATGGCTTCCTTAAACGCTTCTGTGGCTGCAACATATTCGGACTCAGTGGTAGAAAGGGCCACAATAGGCTGTAGTTGAGACTTCCAACTAATGCAAGAGCCACACAAAGTAAAAACATAAGAAGTGGTCGACTTCCTGTTATCTCTATCATTTGCATAGTTAGAATCAACATAACCAATCAATTCAATACCACTAGCACATTTAGAGAAAATTAATCCATGCTTCACAGTAGAAATCAGATATCTAAGCAACCACTTAAGAGCATTCCAATGGGGCAAACCAGGGTTGGACATATATCTACTCAAGCAACTAACCGCATATGCAATATCAGGTCTAGTGCTAACCATAAGATACATCACCGACCCTATTGCGCTGGAATAAGGCACAGATTTCATTTTCTCAATTTCAGGAGCAGTATTGGGAGACTGGTCCTTACTTAACACAAAGTGAGATGCCAAAGGGACATTAACAGGAGAAGCAGATAACATATTAAATTTACTCAAAACTTTTTCTATGTAAGAAATCTGATTCAAAGTAAGAGTACGCTTACTCCTATCCCTAACAATGTTTATGCCTAGGATCCTCTTGGCATCACCTAGGTCTTTCATGGCAAAATTCGCACAAAGACATTTCTGCACATCTTTTATGGCATTCAGAGAAGGACTAATTATCAGCATGTCATCCACATAGAGTAACAAAAATACAGGCACAGAAGAAGTATTTTTGAAATACAGGCAATGATCACAAACAGATTTCTGGAACTTCAAAGATATCATGCATTTATCAAATTTGATGTTCCATTGCCTAGGGGATTGCTTCAGGCCATACAAAGCCTTCCTAAGCAAACAGACATGCTCACTTCTCTTGGGATCCACAAAGCCCTCAGGCTGGGTCATATAAATTGTTTTATCCAATTCACCATGCAAAAATGCAGTAGTTACACCCATTTGTTTCATTTCCCAGTCATGGTGAGCAACTAAAGCAAGCATCATACGAATAGTGGTGAATTTAACAACAGGAGCAAAGATTTCTGCATAATCTACCCCCTCTTTTTGAGTAAACCCCTTCGCAACCAACCTAGCCTTAAACCTAACATCACTAGGTTCTTCCTTAACCTTAAACAACCACTTACACTCAACTACCGAACAGTTGGGGGGTCTAGGTACAAGGGTCCAAGTCTGGTTCACTCTCAAAGAGTCCATCTCACTTTTCATGGCACTAATCCATTTCTGAGACTCTTTGGAACCTAATGTTTCACGGTAGGTCTTGGGTTCATTCAGCTCTAGGGATTCAAACACAGAAAATGCAAACATAGAAGTATCATGCACAATGAAAGCATAATCAGGCATACTATCAGCAGTTCTCCTGATAGCCCTTCTACTCCTATCTCTAGCAAGTTGATAATCATGCAAATTATCACTACTAGGCTCCACATGCAACTCATGCAAATTATTGTTATCATGAAAATCAGATTCAGCACCCATATCATGCAAATCATGCTCAGTATCATGCAAATGCTCCACCTCACTCGAGGTGGTGGGACTAACATGCTCAGAGGAATCAGAATCATGCATAACAATATCATCAGAAATAACAAGATCAACAGATAAAGGACTAGCAGCAACAGGGACAGACTCCACCTCACAAGGAGTACTATCAGACCTAGACTCAGGATTAGAAACAGACTCGGTCAAGCAAGGAAAATCAGTTTCATTAAACACCACATTTCTGCTAAGGACCACCTTAAAGCCTACCTGGTTCCTATCCCATAACCTGTAACCCTTTACCCCCTCTGGATAACCTAGGAAGACACATTTCTTAGACCTAGGATCCAACTTGTCACCCTGTTGGTGTGCATACGCTGCACAACCAAACACCCGAAGGTTAGACAGATCAAGAGGCTTACCGGTAAAGACGGCTTCAGGACACTTACCACCAAGAGGGACAGACGGGGACCTATTAACCAAATAGGCAGCAGTAGTGACTGCTTCACCCCAGAATTTCTTAGACAACCCAGAGGTAGCTAACATGCTTCTAACCTTATCCAACAGAGACCTATTCATTCTCTCTGCTATCCCATTCTGTTGGGGAGTATAAGGCACAGTTTTGTGCCTTTTTATCCCACAATCCACACACAACTTATCCATCTCCTTATTACAGAACTCTAACCCGTTATCAGTCCTAAGGGTTTTAACCTTCCTGCCAGTTTGGTTTTCAACTAGGGTTTTCCACTCCCTAAACCTCACAAACACATCAGACTTGTGTTCTAAAAGGCAAACCCACACCTTCCTAGAGAAATCATCAATGATAGAAAGGAAATATTTCCTACCCCCGTGGGTAGGAACACTGGCAGGACCCCAAACATCGGCATGAACATATTCAAGCACAGACGAACATTTAGACAGATTAGGGTAAGAGGAAGGAGGGAAGCTGACTCTATGCTGCTTGCCTAACACACATGATTCACAGAAAGGCACAGAAGTCACAGAGTCCCTACCAAAATAACCAGCCCTACGCATGACATCTAAACCCTTATTGCTCATATGTCCTAGCCTATTATGCCACAAAGAGGTCTTATCAGAACATACAACATTCACAGACTCAGCAAAAGGTTTAGCATGACACACATAAAGGTTATTCACCTTCTCAGCTTTAAACAAAACAAGCGAGTTTTTCAGGATTTTCATACAACCATTCCCCCATTTTCCCTGTAACCCACTACTCTCCAAAGCAGCAACAGATAACAAGTTATGACACAAATCAGGGACATGCCTCACATTCTTAATGGTAAACACAGAGCCACAAGAAAATTTCAGACATATATCACCAACACCAAGCACATTGCATCTCTTATTATCAGCTAAGGAAACGTAGCCACTATCACATAATTCATATGTAGAAAACAAATCTCTAAAGGGGGACATGTGATAGGTACAACCAGAGTCAATCAACCATTCATGCTCAGACAGGGAATTTCTCACAGAATTAACATGGTCACAAACCATCAATATATCACCAAGATCACATTTATCAACAGCTACACTAGCATGCTCGGTCTTCTTAGGGTGGGGGCAATCCTTAATGAAATGGCCAGCGTTACCACAATTGTAACACACTCTCTTCCTAGATTTACTCCTCTTCCTCCCAGGCTGACTAGCGTTCTTACCCTGACTATTTTGCTTAGAGTTCTTAGACCTACCCTTAGATCTACCCCTAACAAACATAGCCTCACCGGAGTCCCTGGACTGACTAGCACTACCCCTAGCATGCTTCAGGTCTAATTCCTTACTCCTTAACCCATTCACTACAATGTCTAATGAAATCTCATCCCTACCGTACTTAATAGCGGACTTAACATCATTATAAGAGTCGGGAATGGCATTAAGTAATACTATGGGAGTGTAATCATCTATGTGTTTATCACCTGCCTGTTTGATATTCTGTATCAGTTTATTAAACACATCCAGGTTCTCATCTATATCCTTAGTCAGGTCAAGCCTAAACCTAAAGAATTTCTCTAGCAAGAACAACTTTCCTGGTAAAGAGGTATCAGTATAGAGACTATCCAATTTCTCCCACAACTCCTTAGCGGACTCAAGAATACCCACTTTCCTAAGCACAGAATCAGACAGATTCAAGTAAATAGTAGAACAAGCAGTTTCGTTCATTTCAATTTGCTTAGCCTTATCTTCTGATTCAAGAAAAATACCAGTGACAGCTCTGAAAACTTTTTGCTGTATTAAAACACACTTTATTTTCTGTTTCCAAATATCAAAATCTGTTTTTCCATTAAATGGAAGCATACCATACTGATTTGCAGCCATGGTATCAACCACAAAGGAACACAAAGCTAAACAGATAGAAATGACAGAAAATAATCCAACCCGGGTTATAAAGTATTCACTTTAATAACCCCGGGCAGCATGCAACACATAGCAAAAAATGGACATTTTGGCAATTAAACAATTCCGGGCAGAAAAATTAAATTAATTAATTCTACCCCTACCACCCAATAAACCACCCCTACGCATAACAATTAAATTAAATAACACAAAGCAATTTAATTAATTAACTAAAACAGTCTACCACAAAGGAGAAAGTTTAGAACGTACCTGGGGGGTTGGCGGCCGGGATTAAATCAACCGGCGGCCCGCGGGGAGGGGGAATAAATTAAATTAAATTAAAGCCGAAATGCAATAAATAGTAAGTTTACTGAAAACTTACCTTCACGAAACCCTAGGAGAGCGTTTCGACCTTACCTACCCAAATTAAAAAAAAATTGGGATTTTTTCTGAGAAGTTGACTGACTGTTGACCGGCGTTGACTTCCGTTGACCGGCGGTTGACCGGCGTTGACCAGTTGACCCAGTCCAGCAGTCCAAGTCCAAACCAGCAACCCAGCAGTAGTTCCTACTCCAGCCCAGTAGTCCAAAACAGCAAGTCAGCAGCTCCAGCTCCCAGAAAGTCAGAAGCCCAGCAGCCCAAAACTAACG